GTGAAATATACTGAGGGTTTTTTTAAGGTAAAACCCCTGTTTATAAGATATCTATACTTACCTGCATATTCCCTACCCACCTCCCCGCTATAGAGTTTTTAGGGTTAATTTTTTCCCTCACATAAACTGAGGTACCCGGATGTTGGGTATTAGAGAGTGGGTTAAGGGAAGATAACTCGTTCTTAAAATAATTCGGGCATAGTAGTAGGAGTCCGTGACATATTGCTAATTGTTCGATGCAGGTAAGTATAGATATCTTATAAACAGGGGTTTTACCTTAAAAAAAACCCTCATTATTCTACGGGGTCAGTTTTCTACAATGCACACGGAGAAAAACGACCCCAAGGCCATAATTTCTACAGAAAAATGGGTCATTTTTCTACGTAGAATATTGACCAGGGGGTCAAATGTCTCCGTAGAAAAATTACCCCCGGTCAATATTCTACGGGGGTCACTTATCGTCGTTACACCGGGTCCACCAACTGAGCCATCCACGGCCCAAACCATTACAGTTATATGAGTTCAAAATAAATTTTAGATTTTGAACTTGAATACTTACATGATTATAACCTCACATTTCAATAGTTATTATAACTTTTTTTTTTTTTTTTTTTTTTTTTTTTTTGAGTCGGTAAATAAATCGGTTATTACGTTATTTTTGTGTTAATTTTTGATAAGTTTGAAACACGAGTATTTCAATTATGAAATCTACAGAAAAGTCATACAAAATAAAAAATAGATATATATTTTTAATTCTGGCTAACTGAAATTTTCAAAAATATGCCATATAATACTTTAAATGTTTAGCACTGTATCAAAGTAAGATCCAAATTAAACATTAACACGTATGGCATTGAATTGAAATTAAACTTATGAAGTTCTTTGGAAGTCGTATTGAAACTTTAGTTTGAGAACTATTTTGAAGTTTTCTTGCTATTGCAATACTTCTTATAATTGCTACTTTGAAGCATTTTCCCAAAATATTAATAAAACACGCACATATACTTTAATTTTGCTTTACATAATAAATTTTTAAATACATATTGTAAGGAGAAAAGATAAGGTTTTTGTAAAGCAATATGGCTGGACCTGGTCATGTGTTTCCTTGTTTTAAAGATTTTATTTTTATGAACTTTAGAAATCCAATAGGGTAAATCGGAATTAACTATGTTCATTTGAATGTTAAAAGAACATGTATAAAACATGCACTGAAATATGATTTTGTCAGCCAAAAACAAGCTCTATCCTACACAAAGGTTACTAGTACTCGGAAGTTGGCAGGCTAAGAGTGTTTTTAAGTGAGCAACATTATTTTTTTTTAATGCTTTTTGAATATAGAAGTGTTAAAGACATGAATAGTTTTCTTTTTTTATTTAATCTTTAAATCAATTCAATTTTCTATAAAGCAACTCTGGAAGAAAAGCGAAACTTAGAGCTGCCTGATTGAAGTTTGATTAGTTAATAAAGTAAATTAACAAGAGCAAGTTAACTTTTTGATTAACCAATGATGAATGCACGAAAAATGTTAAGCGGAAAGTAATTAAAGTAGCAATAGTAAATTACTAACTTTTTCCTTAATTACGGCTGCATTAATATTAAAATCAAACAGAATATTCCTCAATTTTCTGCTTCCAGGATGGGTTTTTATGCGAGGTCCAAAAAATCAAATTGCGACTGGAAAAAATAACCGTCTGTGTTTAGAAGAATAGGACTCAAATAACAAAACATTAATCAGTGCATGTAATCTTAGATCCATATTTTACACTTTGAAGAAAAAGGACGTCTCAGAAAGCTTGAGTTGTTTTGATAAGTTTCTAAGATAAGTAAAATTTCTAAAGACAAACTTTAAAATTTCAAAATCGATAATTCCTCCACAAGTCTCTAAACGGATTGTAATGTAATTTTTGAATTGAAAGTGAACTTCTTGGTAGTAGGATTTAAATACCGGTAGTAATTTACAACATGACAACTATAGGTTGTGGTATAAAATTTCATCGCAAAAGCTCAAAGGATTCTTGAGATATCGCATGGAAACGAAAGTGTTAAAACATACCACATTTTAGAATTTATAGCCTAGTGCTTGGCCTTTGACCTTTAAACATCAATTTCAAAAGGATTCTTCCTCGGGCAATATGGAGTTCTTGTGTAAAATTTCATTGGAAAAGCTCAAAGGCTTCTTGAGATATCCCGCGGAAACGAAAGTGTTAAAACACAGAATTTCTAAATCTATGACCTTGGCCTTTGACTTTTTAACCTCGATTTCAATAGGTTTTCTTTCTCGGGCTATAGGGACATGAAGGAGTTCTCTTGTAAAATTTCACTGCAGAAGCTTAAAGGCTTATGGCCGGTTGCGTATCTCAGATTTAAACCTACGATCAATGATTCCAGGTTTAAATCCAAGTTTTCGAGTTGCACGCATGTAAGGATTGGCTGAGTACGGCTCAGAATTACGGTAAATTCTGAACCTGGTGTAGGGGTGGTTTAAACCCAGCTTTATAACGTTTTCATGTATTTTTGGGTAGAATATTTCGATATTTTGAAATATTTCGATGTTTCAGAAATGTTTTATGGTAATGATGATTGCATTGATAGATTTTGCAGTATTAAAAAAGCTATTCTACAAGATTTTTTTGGGCCATATAGCATGGGGATTTTTCTTTTTTGCAGCTGTTCAATGTGCCGTTTTAACACTGATGTAGCTGTAGTATAAAGTTTTGGAAGATACTTTTTAAATACATAAATGTACATAAACAGGAATTTTTTAGAAACCCTCTGATATACCAAATTTAAATCAAATTACGAATTTTACACTGTCGAACAGCTGATGATACATATTCCAATTATTTCTAATAATGCATAATTTCCTAAGGATAAAAAGTCTTTCAGTTATCTGATTAATTAATCAGGCTATCTACATGACCGTAAGAACCGGACCGGAGGGAGGGAGGGCATGTTCGTCTCCTATAATTTTGCCGCTGTATAAAATTACCTAGAAAACATAGATAATAAGTGTTTTCTCATAAATAATGTCTTATAAGTTTTTTCACTTTATTTTAAACTAAAAATCTTAATTTATACATTGTTTCTTGATTATTTACCAATATATTGTGTTTTTATATTGTTTCTAAATTACTTACTAGTATTCCAAAGACCCCCCACCCCTGTTTTCTTCTCTTCAGACTTTTGCAAAAGCATTACTTTGCTTGCGATTTTAAATTTTCTTATAGCTTGAGTTTCGATGATAGCTGCTGTGATTTGAACTAAATTGCATTGCATTTTGACATTTTTAATTTACAATTTAACATCAATGTATATCTTTGTTTTTAAATATATCCTTTTATTTTTCAACCTGTTACTAGTATTAAAACTTGTTTTGAAGTGCTGTAATATTAGGAAACCTATTATCCTTCAACATTTTATGTGAGTAAGTCAAGATTAGGTAAACCTTACTCAGTTTTATAGCGTGCAACAGAAATTCGACTCAGGTAATCCCGACTCAACTGAGGTTCAAACCCGGCTTACGTGATCCACGGATCAACCACTGAGCTGTACTTATCTGAGCCATAGATACGCAACCGGCCATTAGAGACAGAACTGTTATAGAAAGACAGAACTACGTACATGCAGCTAGACGGACAGACCGAAATTAATATCATCCACTTTCAGCGGGGGAAATTAATGGTAAACCATTCACTAATGGCCGGTTGCGTATCTCAGACTTAAACCTACGATCAATGATTCCGGGTTTAAATCCAAGTTTTCGCGTTGCACGCATGTAAGGATTGGCTGAGTACGGCTCAGAATTACGGTAAATTCTGAACCTGGTGTAGAGGTGGTTTAAACCCAGCTTTACAAGGTTTCCATGTATTTTTGGGTAGAATAGTTCGATATTTTGAAATATCTCGATGTTGCAGAAATGTTTTATGGCAATTATGATTGCATTGATATATTTTGCAGTATCAAAAAAGCAATTCTACAAAATAATTTTTTGGCCATGTTGCATGGGGATTTTTTTTTTGCACACCTCTTCAACAACTGTTCAATGTGCCGTTTTAATACTGATTTAGCTGTAGTATGAAGTTTTGGAAGATACTTTTAATTAAAATGCATAAATGTACATAAACAGGAATTTAATAGAAACTTTCTAATATACCAAATTTAAATCAAATTAGGAATTTTACAGTTTCGAACAGCTGATGATACACATTTCAATAATTTCTAATAATTTCAATAATTTCTAATAATGCCGAATTTCATGAGGATAAAAAGTCTTTCAGTTATCAGTGAATCAGGCTATCTACAGGGCCGGATCGTAGGAACCGGGCACGGGGGGAGGAGGGTATGTTCGTCCCATATAATTTTGCCGTTGTATAAAATTCTGTAGAAAACATAAATAATAATAAGTGTTTTCTCAAAAATAATGTCTTATAAGTTTTTTTTCATTTGGTTTTAAACTAAAAATCTAAATTTATACATTTTTCCTTTATTATTTACCTATATATTGTGTTTTGATTCTAAATTACTTATTCCAAAGACACTATCCATGTTTTCTTCAATTCAGTCTTTTGCAAAAGCTTTATTCTGTTTGCGTTTTTATATTTTCTTATAGTTTGAGTTTCGATGAAAGATGCTGTGATTTGAATTAAATCATGTAAATTTTATTGCATTTTTTCAGCATTACTAGTATCAATTTACAATTTAACATCAACATATATCATTGTTTTTAAATAATATATATCCTTTTAATTTTCAACCAGTTACTAAGTATTAAAACTTGTTTTGAAGTACTGTAATATTAGGGGACCTTTTATCCTTCAACATTTTATACGAGTAAGTCAAGATTAGGTAAACCTTACTCAGTTTTATAGCGTGCAACAGAAATGCGACTCAGGTAATCCCGACTCAACTGGGGTTTAAACCCGGCTTACGTGATCCACGGATCAACCACTGAGCTGTACTTATCTGAACCATAGGTACGCAACCGGCCATAAGTGTGTTAAATGGGTGAATCAAAAAACGATACCCCTTTCGATAACCCTGAGAGTGACCAATGTCATTGTCCGATATGTCTAGAGAAGGTAAGAAATCCGAAATATCTACCGTGTTATCACACATTTTGTGAGTCGTATATACAGACTTATATTTCAAGTACGGCGACACGTAAGGACAATGAAACGCTAAAATCGATGATAGAGTGTCCAGTGTGTCGTAGATGTATCGAGGCTCCGCGGAATGACATTTCAAGTGAAGATTGGGCATCAGAATTACCAAAGAATAAACTTATACTGACTTTATCTGTAGACCCTGGGCAAGATGAAAATAAAAACTGCATGTTTTGCAAACGACTGGAGAAAACTGTACTTGCAAACCACTGGTGTAAATCTTGTATAGAAGCCATTTGCGAAGATTGCAAATCGTTACACAGAGCTGCACCAAGCCTGCAAAATCATAAAATTGTAAAACTTTCCAACATCAAGGAGGTGAACAGTGAAATTGAGATAGAAGAGTCATGTCCGTTACATACAGGGAAGGTTATTGATGTGTTTTGCCACGACCATCAGGAGCTATGTTGTAGTGTTTGCCTTGTCAAACAGCATAAATTGTGTAAGAATGTAAACACACTTGAAGATAAAGCTCATGAGGTTGACCGAGAAAGCATTCGAAAGACTGCTTTCAAATATATTAGTTTGGAGAAAACTGTTCAAGATATTCTATTAGAAAATCAAAATAAAGTATCAGAACTTAACACAAGGAAGCAAGAAATATGTATGACCACTGAAGAGAAAGTTCAAGAAATAAAATCATTAGTGGACAATGCACATGCCATGTGGCTTAAACGCTTTGAACAGAATCACGCAGACTCCGTTGGAAACATCGAAATTGCTTCCGAGGAGTTGAGGAGGTTTTTCACTACAGTACATGAAGCAAGAACCATGCTACAGTCAGTGTTGAAGAGTGGGTCTTCAAAACAATTGTTTGTCACAAATTATAAATTACAGAATCAGATTTCTGACCACATCACTCGTTTGAAGTCTTTGGATATTTGGAAATTTCCGGAAGATTACAAACAATACAACTCGGATTTTCTGAGTCAAATTTCCAATACAAATGAGTTTGAAGACGTAGTGTTGTCTAAACAACAATCTACGGCGGTGGACAGAATTTTATTGGGTGCTCAAGACATGTCTAAAAAAGACTGGATGAAAGTCACCTTTAACAAATTATCACAGATTACCGGTTTCTCAGAGAGAGTTTATTATGGTTTGTTTATACATGATACAAAGATTGTTCTATCTCTGTCAGACCCACCTTCGCTGAAGATTTACGACATCAGTAAGGCCACAGGAGAATGCATTCACACTGAGAAGTGTCAGGACAAACCGCACGGCATCTGTCACTCCGGTCTGAGCTTGAATGAAATTTATGTGTCTTTTAAAAACTTTATCAATCATTATCGAATTGATGTTGCAGAAACTACAACATTTACAATTCTTAAAACCATTCAGTTAGAAGAACCCATGTTGGCAATTTCTTGTGGGCCAACCGCAGCATTTGCAGCCAATGATACTAAGAGAATGATATGTTCTTTGGACTTTAGCGTTATCCATAGTTCAGCATATAAACATAGTGGAGTTGTACCCTTTGTGGCCTCGTCACTAATATCAGATTTACATTGTTTCATAAGAGATGAAATGGTTATAGTTGTGGATGGAAATAACAAAGAAATTTTCAGGAGCACTCGGCATGGAAATCTACGTGGTCTTGCATTTGATTTAAAAGACAATACTTTCGTTTGTAAGCATAAGTCAACTAAACTAAAACAATTTAAATGCGACAAGAGCGAGAGTAGAGACATTGTTCTAGAAGGCATGACAGAAACTTACAACGTTATACTTCATCCAGCGGGAGAGAAGATTTTGGTGTTAGACTACTGTAAAAAATGTTGTGTATACCAAATATCGTAGAATTGGTTGATGCATGCGTGTACAATATACATGAATTTTATTCAAAATATGTTTTTTATACTTTCAAACATGGGCATTTATTTCTTAAGGTAGGTTGCGGGTTTGCTTTCGTCATTAATTTTGGTACACAATTTCGACGATTCGAGCGGTTGTTTTGTGCACATTTGATTATGACGTCAGTTACGTCCAAAGGCAACGTTACGTTGTTACCCGTTTAATTCTCTGCAAATGACTTCAAGTCTGTACGAATCAAGTAGATAAAAAAACAGTGCATGCTATTGTACGTAAATCTCGTACATGTTTTATAATCAAATTTCAGTTTGAATTCTGATGTGATTACATGTAATATCTTAGTACTAATCAAATGAAAGGAATAATTTATATTGTAAGTGTAACTGAATAAAACTGAAAAAATTCAATTAGAATAAAACAGCGTAAAAGTTATGGTTTGCAATAAAAATTGCTTAGAGGAAAACTTGAGGGGTTGTATGTGCGCAGGTTATTTGAAACTCAGGGAAACATGCGTATTGCATCATTACTGCCAATCAAATTTACGTTCAACAAATGGCGTCGTAGATATAAATAACGCCATAAATGCAAATTTTTAGCAGTACAATGTATTGAAAAAAAACTTTGAAATTATTTAGCAAAAAATCCAGCGAGAAGACACATTGATTTTTTTGTATTAAAAGTTTTGATTTTAACTCATCTTGACATTTTGAAATTCCTGACTAATTCGCCTACGTCTTTAGAAAGATATTCAACCTTTTTAAAAGAAACTATTTTCACAAAATTGGCTTAAAAACGTCATTTTTCCATACAATTCAATAGAAAAGCGAAAAAAAAAGTACTAACAACAATACCGCGTTTACAGTAATATAGCATTAAAACTACCCAGGCAAATTTAATAAAAATTGCATATAATACGCTGTGAATTGTAAGGAACACTACTAGTATATCAAATTTTCAGGATATTTTTTCTCGTAAGAAGTTTAATTTTACGCAGTAAACCCGCGACCTACCCTAAATAGGTTTTTATCATCAGATTCTTACTCAATTTCGGGCACCCGCACTTTTAGCCTAGGGCAATATGGATCAAATAATTTTTTCCCCAACAACAACCCAGTTCCATGATATCCTTTTACATTTTTACAGAATCCTATATAATCTTTTAAGGAATAATTTTTAATAACACTGTTGTATGATTGCCATAGAAATCTTTTATCATTCAATAACTTGTGTATTTCTTGTACATGTATATCAGTACGATAAAGATTTTCAAATATTTGTCTTGTTTTGCATGGGTTCATGGGCGATTTTCTAATCTTGTCTTTGGTAACATATACTCTTTCTGATAGCGTAATATTCAGTTTCTCTAATTCATCATCAGTTATATCACCTGAAAAAATAACAAATAAAATAACCTTGAACACCTCTAAAATACTGAAGAAGCATTTAAATACTGTTATTGTCAATATAGTGTTTATTCCAAAACACGAAGGCCACAAATAGAAAGGTAAATAATTAAGTTAGTGATTAAAAATGTTCAAAAAAGAAATTTGCATCAAACAAACTTTTTAAAATATTTACGTAATTTAAAAAAAAATCAAATACTTTCCTGACAACAGAGGACACATTAGATGAGTAGTCTTCTGTACGTAGAATTAACATCTGATCACGTGGGAATACTGACAGCCATTCTCGTAGATAAACACCATAACATCCTAAATGTATTCTCGTCTGTAAATGTATAAATTTTATTTCATTGAAAGGTAATTCTATTCAATTCATAACATATTTCTTTTCTCAAAACATGTTACAGACTGTAAGAACATTAAACTTAAGGTCTTTCCACCCCCACAATTTTAATAGTTCAACGTACAAAAACTGCATATATTTTTAATTTAACATAGTTTAAATTTACTTATTATTGCAATAAAGATATAGGTTGTCATATTATTTAAGACAGGAGACATATATAAACAGAACTGTATGTCAACATAAAAAAATGTGCATTTCTTAAACTCTTGTAAACAGTATTATAAAAATCATGTTAAAACTATTTCAAATGCATATTTCTGATGTTGATAGTTCTAAAATACAATGTATCCATACTTGCTACCTATAAGAAACTTTTGAATTTGAATATTAGGGAAACTATTTTACATTAGAAGTGAAATAAAGATACCTTAGAAGGAGTTATTGCCCTTGTAAACATTTTTAAAGATTAAATAACTGATTGAATAAAGAAAATATACATCTTTTAAATCCTTTTACTTAACAACATTTATCATCACACCTATTGAAAAGCATTCTTCCAAAAGATATTGTTCTATAGGGTATAAATTTAAATTAATAATAGTTTTTGCAAACCTATGACACCATGCGAGGGTGGAATTACCTTGAGATGGCGTATTGGAGCTAAGTAGTGAATGGATTATAACTTTAAATTTCTTTTGTTAACATGACCTTAACTTTTGTCTTTTTAGCTCACCTGAGCCGAATGGGCTTTTCTGATCAAAATATATCCGTTGTCTGTCATCATTGTTGTCGTCGTCGTAAACTTTTCACATTTTCCTTTTCGTCTCAAGAACCACTGAGCCAATTTCAACCAAATTTGCCACAAAGGGTCTTTGGGTGAAGGAAATTCAAATTTGTTCAAATGAAGGGTCACGTGTTCTATCAAGGGGAGATAATTATGAATTAGTGAAAAATTAATGTCATCTTTTAAAAATCAACTCAAGAACCACTGGGCCAGGAAAGATGAAACTCATCTGGAAGCATCCTCGGGTAGGGTAGATTCAAGTTTGTTCACGTCAAGACCCCCATGGGTGGGGTGGGGCCGCAATGGGGTATCAAATTTAAACATAGGAATATATAGGGAAAATCTTTAAAAATCTTCTCAAGAACCACTGGACCAGAAAAGATTGATTGATTAATGTTTTACGCCGAATCGACAATATTTCAGCCATATATCGGCGATAAAAAGTAAATCATTTGGCAAATTTCAAAAGTTAGGTTTTTTCTGACGGCCCCAAATGAGCCTTCTCTTTTTCGAAAATCAGAAAAATGATCTTTTATGTGCCAAGTGGGTTGTAATGCTTAACGTCCTATCCGACAGACCTGACCAGAAAATTTGAAACTCATGCGGAAGCATCCTTAGGTAGTGCAGATTCAAGTTCAAGTTCAAAATGATACAAAAATAAAAAATTGTGACCGTTTAGTAAGAGAGTAAAAACACTTTCTACATATTTTTGGCTCATATCTGTACTTAGAGTTGAAGCTTCTGAAAGCTGACATAACTGTAGTTTGTTTGAAAATTCATATTTATTTGATATATTTTAAAACTTTATTTCACTATCATTAATTAAGCTAACATATGAAAATTCTTTTATCTTTGATTGTGTAAAAATTATAATTAAAGTCGTAGTTCTATAATAATTTTGAGAGGCAGAAAAAAAGATATTTTCATACGCCACCATTCCGCCAAAAACATAGCCCCTGCTAGTTTCCGAACACAATTTACCATTTCTATTTAAAGTTGTACAATTGTGATGAGGAAAGAAAAATATGGCCTTTTAGATATCTTTCACCTAAATATATAAGATATATAAGCAAATATACATTGAATATTTCATTTAGTGAGAAACCAAAGAAGAATCCTACCTTAAAACATCTGCTCGACCCTGGACATCAAGTAGTCAAACTGTTGGTATGATTGTAATCATTGTCAGTGTTGAAGAGTGGGTCCTCAAAACAATTGTTTATTACAAACTATGAATTGCAAAATCAGATTTCTAACCACATCACTCGTTTAAAATCTTTGGACATTTTGAATTTTTCTGAAGATTACGTGCAAAACAACACCGGTTTTCTTGCTCAGATTATCAGTGCAAAAGAACTTGAAGATGTAGAGCTGTCTAGACTACAATCTTGGGCAGTGGAAAGAACTTTATGGAAATTACAGACGTAGCTGACAAAGATAATATTTTACAAAGAAGAAAAACGATGTCTACAAGGGATTGGACGAAAGTCGACTTGCTGCTTAACATCTTTCGTGCATTCATCGTTGGTTAATCAAAAGTAAACTTGCTCTTGTTAATTTACTTCATTAAATAGCCGCACTGATCCTATAGCAAGGTTGATAAATCTTGCACCTGTGGCAAAATGCTCCCAAGAGCCTCCAGACAGAAGGACCATCAATTGTAAGAGAAGGGCTACTGCACTCCTTCCTCCATAAAATGGGGATGAAATCCATTTTCCTTCATGTCCTCTCTGTAAAAAATGAAAATAAAATACTATTTTTCGTATATATATCCTAAACATTTTTGTAACATGTTTGACAGATATGATAAAGAAAATTAGACTGAGCCATTTAAAGATTATTATTAAAAGTAAAGTAAAATAGGACACACTCACCATGCACCTGTACTTATATTTTACTCCTGCCGCCACTTTCTCCCCTTCAATTACACTAGAAGGTATTATAGCCTCTCCGCATTCTTTACATGTACTTCTTTTTATGAGATCAAGGAGCTCCCTCTCACCAACAATGAACCGCCTGTCACATAGAATGGCATCTCGTCCTGGGATTCTTCCTCCTGACATCTTAACAAAAAATTAATTGCAATATACATATAAGAGAGGTTTATAAAATTTACAGAAATTAGGACACAAGAAAAATGTCTCAGAATTTCATTATCAGAAAACATTGTTCCAAAATTTTGGTAAGCTGAACTTAAAGGGTGTCACAATATTCAAAAATATTGTTATAATACACCATTTACTAGAAAAGTTTCATTTCTAGAGAGAAAATTGAACAATAATTTTAACAACTATGAACAGTATGTAATAACCTTGGTCTCTTATTCCACATTTCATTTTCCTGCTCCTCATCCTCACTATCATAGCCATCATCGTCAACATGATTATCATCAGCATCTTCATCATCAGATGTACCAAAAATATCCTCCATTATTTTTTGCAAATCTTCATCATCA